AGGGTCAAATAAATGTGTAATTTTATCTTTTATCATTCAATAACCCTGCCTGACTGTCTGTTGGACCTGGTCACATGGTATGTCTAGATATGGCCGATCTCATCTTCGCTCACTAAAGTCTTCAACAGCTATTTCTAAAATCTGTCAAATGCAACAGGAAGCGAATAGATTTATCAACTCTTGCAGTGGGCTACAGTGGAAGTTGTCCTTCAAGAGTTGCTGAATTTCCTCTTGACTTCAGCTCTTCATCTGCAGGGTACCCTTTTCAGATGTAACATCAGGATCAGAATAGAGACTTGAGGCTAGTTTCAAAAGTTGTCATGTTTCTGTATATTGAAATATATGTAATGTAAACTTCTGAACCAGCTCACCCTCCTTTAATGTAGTCGAGGAATGTGTGTTCTGACTCCACCGTGAACGACAGCATGGTCACCTGGGTAGAAAAAATATTCAAAGCAGTTACCCAACAGTTATATTCACCACTTAGGTAATCAACACAAAGTCACAAACACAATGTATTCACCAATTTAATCATAATTACTCACCATATCAGTAATCAAAACAATCATAATTTACCAATTACTAATTTAAACATTAAATACATTAACAGTTAGCACCCACGCCTACAGGCCCCCAGGGTTAACCAACCGCTTCCCAAGAGTGATTCATCTAGGTAGAATGAGTTTGTTTGACATCAGAGCGGCATATTAGTATTAGAACATCGATCCATCTCAATCACACACTCGCACACACACACACACACACACACACACAAAGAGACACACACACACACACACAGATCCATCTCACTGAGGTGTGATGAGAGCAACATGATGGATGTCTCCCGCTCTGATTTTAATTATCTAGTCACCGTCATCGTATTGAGGCTCAGCATCCCAAAGTGTGTGTGTGTGTGTGTGTGTGTGGGCCCAGGCAATAATAACAATGCACTGATTTCCTCCTAAACATCAGTCACTGATAGGACAACAGAGGACATGTGGAAGAGGTGTGAAGATGTGACTTTATGCATCTCTATGTATTCTGACCATTTCACCTTGTTTGAGGTCATTACAACTTAATTCCTCTCTGGTGGTATTTGTTCATTATCTCTAGACTCTAAACTATAACAAAACAAAGTATCTAAAGTACAGTATCTTGTTAAGTATCCTTGAATGGATTTAGAAGAGATAACAAACAGTTAGCTAAGGAAATTAAACCACCGCTCTTTTTTTAAATTGCAATCCACTAACCACAAACTAATTTAAGAACACAACAACAAACAGAGATGACGGGGAAGAAATATGCGGTTGCACCAGGCAGGAAGAGATGTTCTATATTTTAATCTGGAGCTTTTCACAGACTCACCGTCCCAGAATTGATGTATCTCTTCTTCTTGATCTTCTTCTTGGCGTTCACCACCTAGGATTCAACAACCACAATATGAGCTTGATTTCATAGATTTGTAAAAATGAAAATCCCATCAAATGTCTCCATTCCCATGGGCCAGTTAAGCAATAAGGCCTGAGGGGTGTGTGGTATATGTCCGATATAGTTCATTCCAGTCTTTCCATTGGGGTCTACCCGGGGTGTATTCACCGTGGTTTGTATCTCTGAACAGCATATGTCAATATACACGTGTTAACACACAAAGGCATGCAGGCTTACACACGCACGCACGCACACAAGAGCACACGCGCGCACACACACGCACGCACGCACGCACGCACGCACGCACGCACGCACGCACGCACGCACGCACTCACACACACACACACACACACACACACACACACACACACACACACACACACACACACACACACACACACACACACACACACACACACACACACACACACACACACACACACACACACACACACACACACACACAGCGAGAACAGGACCTCACTGACTGCCAATGAGGTTCAGCAGCAGCTATATGACTGCTAAATAGTTAACCAATAGCTACCCGGACTATCTGCATTGACCCTTTTTGCACCAACTCTTTTGACTCATCACATACGCTGCTGCTACTGTTTATTATCTATCCTGTTGCCTAGTCACTTTACCCCTACCTACAGTATACTGCTGCTACTGTTTATTATCTATCCTGTTGTCTAGTCACTTTACCCCTACCTACTGTCTATTATCTATCCTGTTGTCTAGTCACTTTACCCCTACCTACAGTATACTGCTGCTACTGTTTATTATCTATCCTGTTGCCTAGTCACTTTGCCCATACATACAGTACCGTTCAACAGTTTGGGGTCACTTAGAAATGTCCTTGTTTTCCATGAAAACATACATTAAATGAGTTTGAATAGGAAATATAGCTAAATGAATAGGAAATGTAGTCATTGACAAGGTTAGAAATAATGATTTTTAATTGAAATAATAATTGTGTGTCACGATCGTTGAGAGACAGGTCAGACCAAGGTGCAGCGTGGTATGCGTACATGTTTATTAATACGAATAAACACTTGACAAAATAACAAAACAACGAAACGTGAAGCTCAAACAGTGGCTTCAACACAACAAGCCAAACGCGAGTCAAGATCCCACAACTAAGGTAGGCAACCAGGCTAAGTATGATCCCCAATCAGAGGCAGCTGTCACTTGTTGTCTCTGATTGGGAATCACACCCGGCCAAACATAGAAATCTACAACCTAGAAATACAATAAAACATAGAATTCAACAGAAACTCACACCCTGACCCAACCAACAAGAGTTCTCTCGATCAGGGCGTGACATTGTGTCCTTCAAACTTTGCATTGTCCTGTTGTAGGAGGAAATTGGCTCCAATCAAGCGCCGTCCACAGGGTATAGCATGGCGTTGCAAAATGGAGTGATAGCCTTCCTTCTTCAAGATCCCTTTTACCATGTACAAATCTCCCACTTTACCACCCCCAAAGCACCCCCAGACCATCACATTGCCTCCACCATGCTTGATAGATGGCATCAAGCACTCCTCCAGCACCTTTTCATTTGGTCTGCGTCTCACAAATGTTCTTCTTTGTGATCCGAACACCTCAAACTTAGATTAGTCTGTCCATAACACTTTTTTCCAATCTTCCTATGTCCAGTGTCTGTGTTCTTTTGCCAATCTTAATCTTTTCTTTTTATTGAACAGTCTGAGATATGGCTTTTTCTTTGCAACTCTGCCTAGAAGGTCAGCATCCCGGAGTCGCCTCTTCACTGTTGACGTTGAGACTGGTATTTTGCGGGTACTATTTAATGAAGCTGACCTGTGAGGTGTCTGTTTCTCAAACTAGACACTCTAATGTATTTGGCCTCTTGCTCAGTTGTGCACCGAGGCCTCCCACTCCTCTTTCTATTCTGGTTAGAGCCAGTTTGCGCTGTTCTGTGAAGGGAGTAGTACACAGCGTTGTACGAGATCTTCAGTTTCTTGGCAATTTCTCGCATGGAATAGCCTTCATTTCTCAGAACAAGAATAGACTGACGAGTTTCAGAAGAAAGTTCTTTGTTTTTCGACAATTGCTGATGCTCCAGATACTCAACTAGTCTCAAGAAGGCCAGTTGTATTGCTTCTTTAATCAGCACAACAGTTTCCAGCTGTGCTAACATAATTGCAAAAGGGTTTTCTAATGATCAATTAGCCTTTTAAAATGATAAACTTGGATTAGCAAACACAACGTTCCACCGGCTTACTAGCCACTACCGCTCCATTTATCATCACTCCATTTGTCTTGTCTTGTCAATCACACACACCTGGTACTCATTCCCTCATTAGTCTGTGTATAAGTGTTCCCTCTGCCCCCTTGTCCTTTGTGAGTGATTGTTCATTGTGAGAGTGAGTAGCTCGGTTGAGCTACTCTTTCCTTGTATGTAGCCAAGGTGGATCTTTCCCCTTGTGCTAGTTTCGTTTTGACGCTTGCTGTGCTTTATTCATGTACACTGAATAAACTCAGGATTTCGGTGTTTTACCTCCTGCGCCTGACTTCGTCATTCACACCTCATCACAGACGTTTCCAGCTACAATAGCCATTTACAACATTAACAATGTCTACACTGTATTTCTGATCAATTTCATGTTATTTTAATGGACAAAAAAAAAGGACATTTCTAAGTGACTCTAAACTTTTGAACTGTATTGTATATGTGCATACAGTACATAGCCTTGTGTGCGGCTGCTCGGCAACGGAAACCCATTTCATTAAACAGTTATTGTGGTGACGTTGCTTCCAGAGGCAGTTTGGAACTCGGTAGTGAGTGTTGCAAGTGAGGACAGACGATTCTTACGCGCTTTGCGCTTCAGCACTCAGCGGTCCTGTTCTGTGAGCTTGTGTGGCCTACCACTTTGCGGCTAAGCCGTTGTTGCTCCGAGACGTTTCCACTTCACAATGACAGCACTTACAGTTGACCGGGGGAGCTCTAGCAGGGCAGAAATTTCACAAACTGACTTGTTGGAAAGGTGGCATCCTATGACGGTGCCAAGTTGAAAGTCACTGAGCTATTCAGTAAGGCCATTCTACTGCAAATGTTTGTCTATGGAGATTGAATGGCTCTGTGCTCGATTTTATACACCTGTAAGCAACAGGTGTGGCTGAAATAGCCGAATCGACTGATTTGAAGGGGTGTCCACATACTTTTGTATATATAATGTATCTACCTCAATGACCTTGTGCACATCGACTCGGTACTGGTAACCTGTGTATATAGCCAAGTTATCGTTACTCTTTGTGAATTTTTTTTATGTCC